TGCCGGTGCGTGCTAGGGGACGCTCTTCCTGCTCCCAGGTATGAAGAAATGATTCTCCGCACCACAACCTTGTAAAAAAAAACTCTCAAAATATGCTGAGCGGCTTCGTTCTGTTGACCATCATCACTCTCTCTCTCTCTCTCTCCTCTCTCTCCTTCCCTCCAGGTCTGCTGATCACGTGTCATGTGACTAAAACCTGTCTCCCTGAGGCCTGGAAGAAGGAGATGGTTCGGTATCTGCGATCTGTGCAGCTGCCTGATGGGGGCTGGGGTCTGTAAGTGTTGGTTTTGTCTCATCACTTGGACATTTTGTACATTTAAAGTAAATCCCAAAGCTACAGGTCTGTAAGGCAGAAATGACAACAGTTCTGGGAGTAGGGATGTCCGTTATTACATTTTTGCCGATATTGTCCAAACACTTAATTCCCAACATCATTATCAAACCACTGTATGAGTTGCTGGCACCAGCATTCTGCATACAATCCTCTGATTATTAAAATAGATTAATGAAATGAGCTGCAATGCTGCCATCTGGTGACTTTCACTCTCATATACAGCTGTTTCCCCCCAAGACACGCATCATTTGGCGAAACCCAGGCATTGTGTGTTATCGGGTTTTCATTATCGGAGGAAAAACCGATGACAATTCTTACAGATATTACATAATTATGCTTATATCGGGCCGATATTATCGGACATCCCTACCTGCCGTGTGGTTCTCAGGTATGGCCTTGACCTCCCCCTTGGTTCTCCACAGGCACATTGAGGATAAGTCCACCGTCTTCGGCACCACGCTGAGCTACACCTCGCTGAGGATCCTTGGCGTAGAGCCGGATGATCCAGATATGGTTCGAGCCAGAAATAACCTTTACAGTAAAGGTGGGTCAAACTCACATGGTCCTGACACTGGGCTCTGCTTCACACACTCCAGTAACCCACTGGTTCTTCACTGTTGGTGTGGTTCAGGTGGTGCAGTGGGGATTCCCTCCTGGGGTAAATTCTGGTTAGCCATTTTAAACGTCTACAGTTGGGAGGGGATGAACACACTTCTGCCAGAGATGTGGTGAGTTTCGACGTTTAAAGTTTTATCCTTGAACTGTGTTTTTAAATATACAGAATGATTGGGAGGTTTTAGGGGTGTAAGAAAATATTGATACGCTGAAATATTGCAATGTTTCACTTCACGATACCATCTCGATATTTATAATATTACTAATATTATGATATTTCACTTCACGATACCATCTCGATATTCTACAGCCCTGTATGTATTTTTTTTACACTGTTTCACTGCAATTGTCAATCAAACGAACGCACCTTGGAAAACACTGTACAGTGAAGTATTACTACTGGTACCGGTACTTCAACCACACAGACACGCAGAGCAAGTAAGAATAGTTAACATCTGTATTTAACAAGTGACTCTGGCCATTTTAAAGTGAATGCCATTCCCTTGAATGCCACTAGAGGGAGACCAAGTATCAACAGTGGTTAGTATACCACAGTATGTGAGACAACACAAATGTAGAAACTGTATTATTAGTCTAACCTGATTCTCCAGAGGAGAGTGTAAACTGTGGATTTGTTTCCCCCTGGAGGCTGTTTCCTGCCTGGACACCTGCTCATCCCTCCACCCTGTGGTGTCACTGTCGTCAGGTCTACCTGCCCATGAGCTACTGCTACGCTGTTCGACTGGCGGCAGAGGAAGACTCCTTAGTCCTCAGCCTCAGACAGGTGCGGAAGCCAAAGTGTCCTGGTAGAGGGCGCTCCACATCGAGCAATAAATCAGGAACGGAACGGTGAACTTTAGAAATGTAACCGATAGTTAGTGAGCTCAACGCAACACTGTTTTATTAATATATAATTATGTATAATTGTTCGGTGCACAAACATCTGTACTGAGAAAAGTCAAATGTTCTGTGAAGTCACTGAGGAGAACTTTCAGTCCGAGCTCAGATCACGAGAACATTGCTGGAGCAAAGTCAACAAAATCAATTCATGTTGAATTTTCATTCTCATTTCATGGCACTGACAGAACTTTCTGGTTAATTTGAGAGCATTTTAATTATAAATAGAACCGATTGAGAGTTTCTGTCTTTAAAAAAAAAAAAACAGTGTGTCGTCTGCACACGGTATACGGTGTTGACACAGTACTGTAACCACATTTGATGAAGTATTTTTATCTTCAGAATGTTTTCACATTGACCTTTGAATCGGTTCTTCTCTGCAGGAACTCTACGTCCAGGACTATTCGTCCATCCACTGGCCGGCTCAGAGGAACAACGTGGCAGCGTGTGACATGTACACACCCCACAGCACGCTGCTCACCTTTGCCTACAGTAAGCGCACTGCACACCGGTTGTCATGGCGACCATCACCGTTGTTGTGCTAAACAGAAAATGTTGACAGGTTTTTTTTTCAGGTCACGTTAAACGACCATACATATAATTAATCACTGTCGTCATGACATCGGCTCGTTCCCTAACTGTGGCGTGACTGTGTTCGTGTTTCACCGCAGTGGTGTTGAACGTGTACGAAGCCCATCACAGCAGCACGCTGAGGGAAAAGGCCGTCGCCGAGCTGTACCGACACATCCAGGCCGACGACAGCTTCACCAAGTGCATCAGCATCGGACCGGTAATGATGCTCACGGCCCAAACAGTCTGTAGGAAACCCAGATATTGTGTTATTGGGTTTTTGTTACTGGAGGGAAAACTGATAACGATTCTTATAATTATGCTACTATCAGTCGGCCGATGTTATCGGACCGTCCTAATCATGACCAGTGTGTATTAAGAGTAAACAGCTTTGTATATTTGTCTTCTTTAGATCTCCAAAACCATCAACATGTTGGTGCGCTGGTACGTGGACGGCCCTTCCTCACCAGTCTACAAAGAGCACGTGTCCAGGATTCCAGACTACCTCTGGTCAGTTCTACAAATCCATTTCATCCCTCTGATTTGATGTATTTGATTTGATGACCAAACAAAAATGTCCCGAAAAGTATCTGTCATGAAATCAAATGATCTTTTACTTTACAAAGAGTAAATGTGAAACCCTGGCCTGTTTGGTTAAACACAATGCTGATATACTAACAGGAATTGAAGAAAGACACACAAAAAATATGTTTAATATACATCTGCTGCCTCCTAGTGGAGGAATATTTAATTGTTCAGCTCGTCACTCTTGCATAGATCATTTGCAGTAAAAGTTCTCTCACACTCCAAAAACAGCAGTTAGAGCTGGGGATCAAACCGATTACAGTTTGGTTGTAAGGCAGGACTATTCCCCACTCTTCCACTGTGTAGCCTGAATGAATGAACTCACAGAAACGTCTTTGTCTTTGTTTTGCAGGCTGGGATTGGACGGCATGAAAATGCAGGTGAGTTATTATGTGCAGTGTGTGTAGCAGCAAATGTAGCGCTAAGCTAATCAAACATTAGTGATGTGGAAGATTCTTATTTTTGAGGCAACTTAACATTTTTACCTGTTCTTGTGTCGTAGCGACACCAACAGAGCCAGTAAAATCGGTTTGACCTTTGACCTTTTATTCTTCTGATTCTACACAGGGAACAAATGGATCTCAGCTCTGGGATACCTGTTTTGCTGTGCAGGCGTTTCTTGAGGTGAATTAAATATATGAACGTAACATGACTTAACTAGTGACACATACAGGGCGCCGCAACAGTTTTTTTAAATGTTTAAAAACAATGTTTCCGAGAGTTTGTTGTTGTCTCTCAGGCAGGAGCTCAGGACCAGCCCAGATTTCAGCAGTGTCTCCAGGCCGCCCATGACTTTCTGACCATCACACAGGTAGACGTCACGTGTCACGCTAAGATGCTAATCTGGATAAACTCCAGCTCTTCATCAAGAACTCCAGTCTTCTGCTGTCGAACATTAGAAACGTGGTGTTTCTGTCTTTTTGCTGAGTCATCGTGAAAAATTTCCACTCTCTTTTTTTAAACACACATGTAATGTCGGTTGTTATCTGGAGATCTGTGCCAGTCAGAGGTCGATCAGATGTTAACATCTACGTCTGACCGGTTTTTCTTCTCCAACAGATTCCTGACAACCCTCCTGAATACCACAAGTACTACAGACAAATGAACAAGGTACGTATGTCTGAGGTATTAAACAAGTACTATCAACATACAGTACATTGATGGTCCACAGTCACCTCTGGTCCACAGTCACCTCTGGTCCACAGTCACCTCTGGTCCACAGTCACCTCTGGTCCACAGTCACCTCTGGTCCACAGTCACCTCTGGTCCACAGTCACCTCTGGTCCACAGTCACCTCTGGTCCACAGTCACCTCTGGTCCACAGTCACCTCTGGTCCACAGTCACCTCTGGTCCACAGTCACCTCTGGTCCACAGTCACCTCTGGTCCACAGTCACCTCTGGTCCACAGTCACCTCTGGTCCACAGTCTGAACGACTGTACGACGCTGTCAATGTGGTGAGAAGGAGTTCCCCCGTTTCTCAACGTGTGATGATGTCGGTTCAGAGGCTAGAACCTCTGTGGACACCCTCAAAGAATATGACGATACCATACGCATCACGATACACCGGGCACCGATACAATATATTGCGATACTATAGGTAGTTATTTTTCAAACTGTGGTATGCTAACTTGCGATGTCCGACATGAATTAATTGCCAAAATCTGATATGCTGATATTGTCCAAACACTTCCGATATCGACCGATACCAGTATATGCTGCCGTTTGTCCCCAAAAATGCGGTAAATGTCTCAGGATCCCACATGCAGTTCCACCATATTTTTGCGTTATCGGGTTTTTATTATTGGAGGAAAAAAAACGATGACGATTTTTAAAGATATTAAATTATTTATATATATTTATTTGGATTCCCTCTAGTGACCTAGACTACCATTAAATCGATATCCGAGAGTACCAACCTACTTACAGTACTGCAGTTTTACCATGGTGTGTCTGACCTTTGACCCTGCAGCTGCTCAGCATGAGGAACTCAGACGGTGGATTTGCCACGTACGAAACCAAGAGAGGAGGAAAACTCCTGGAGCTGCTCAACCCCTCGGAGGTGTTTGGTCAGTGTGTGTGACCTCACAGCACAACGTTCTCGTTGGTCTTGTGGCTGACGCTGCGTCTCTCTCTCACACACACACACACACACACACAGGTGACAGACTGATCGACTACACCTACGTGGAGTGCACCTCGGCAGTGATGCAGGCTCTCAGACACTTCCAGAAGGTTCATCCTCAGCACCGGACCGAGGAGATACGGTACCGTGACCATCTGACGCTGTGCAGCACGGGTGTGACCCGCAGCACCACTGATGAATGTTTGTCTCCAGGTCCACTCTGACAGACGGGCTGGACTACTGCAGGAGGGTGCAGCGCCCCGACGGATCGTGGGAGGGGTGAGAACCCACAGGGGGTCCTGTGGTGTAGGTTCTGTTGTTCTGATGTTCTGTTCTGACGGACCTCTGTCTGTGTTCAGGTCCTGGGGCGTGTGCTTCACCTACGGTACGTGGTTCGGCCTTGAAGCCTACGCCTGTATGGGTCACGTCTACAAAGATGGGTGAGAGTTTCCAACCACCGTCTCCGACTTCCTGCACTCACATGGTTTCAAACCGTGGGGCGTGGTCCAGTCGGTTTGTCTACTTTGACTGTTGGACCAGAGCCAGATACCAGACATGAACCGACTGTCTACATACACATACACACAAACCAGCATTTGGGGCGGGGCTTAGACTGCTGACGGCTCTCACAAGAGCAGAAACTAACTGAACTCAGTGGAGTACACAGAAACCACTGTAAAGAACATTATAGTATTGTGACAGTATTTATTTTCACTCAGTGGAGTTCACAGGAACCACTGTAAAGAACATTATAGTATTGTTACTGTAGTACTATACTCTGGACACTGGGGGGAACTTTTTGACTCCCGGGCAACAAAGGGTCCTAAAATTTGATGGCGGACTGGGTCAGGAGCAGGTAGATGACATGTTAAATCAAATGACATGTAAAAGTCATAAAGGCTAAAAAGCCTTTCCTACGCCATCTATTGGAGAAATGCAGACACTGCAGGAAAAAGGCAGAAATATAATGATAATAGAAATTAATAACATCATTTTTTCTTTGGCGAACCTTTATCATGTGACTCAGAACTCAATCTTTTTTACTCAAAACGTCTCCACCATGCCCTCTGTTGGCCAGGGATGTATGTGCAGCGGTGCAGAGAGCCTGTCTGTTCCTGCTGGAGCATCAGATGTCTGACGGAGGCTGGGGCGAAGACTTTGAGTCATGTGAGCAGCGGCGCTACGTCCAGAGCAGCGCGGCCCAGATCCACAACACCTGCTGGGCCTTGTTGGGACTGATGGCTGTCAGGTAGGGTCCAGCCCACTGCACCCCTGCACTGACCTATTAAAATAGTAGTACGTTAGTAACATCATTATTATTATTATTATTATTATTATTATAGGGTGTAAGAAAATAACGATACATTGAAATATGTAATATTTTGATATCGTGATATATATTGTGATACCATTTCGAGAACACAGCTGTGATCATGTGACCGTTATCTCCTGTATAAACCAGACATCCTGACAGGAAGTCCATAGAGAGAGGAGTTCAGCTGCTGATTGACAAACAGCAGCCTAACGGAGACTGGCCCCAGGTCAGTGTCTTTTTTGTTTCCCACCATTGGACCGGATCACACCGGTAGAACCGACCGTGGAACGTGTGACACCTTCTCTTCTTCTTTCCGTTCGCAGGAGAACATTTCCGGCGTGTTCAACAAGAGCTGCGCCATCAGCTACACCTCCTACAGGAACGTCTTCCCGGTCTGGACCCTCGGCCGCTTCGCCGCTCTTTACCCCCACAGTCCACTGGCTGGGAAGGTGAAAGGGTGAGGCGGGTGAGGCGGGTGAGGTGACCAGTGTCCAGAAGGACTCAGTGAGAGACACCTGTGGACGGAACAGAAGACAAGGACGATTCTTTTAATTAATGTTCACACAGCACAGGAGCTTTGTTTCAGTGTTTAACCACTGGAGGCAGTCAAGTGAAGTGAAGAAGCTATTCTTTAAACAACGTTGTGAGTAGGGATGTCCGATAACTTTTTGCCGATATCTGATATGCCGACAGTGGGCAGTGGTGGCCTGGTGGTTAAGGAAGTGAAGTGCAGCCCCCCGGGCCGATGGTTGTGAGTCATATTAACAACCAGCTCTGCTTGAATATAAATCATGTAAAAAATAAATTCCATTTTACAAATGTTTTTTTTAACAGTGTAATATTTGTACCTGTCGACTACAGGGAAGTATAAAGTACTCTAGTCAGAGATGAATGATGAATGCTAATCTTAGTACTTTCTCAGGTGACGATGAAGTCAGTATTTATTCAGGAACGCGACCTGAGCCAAAATAAACAGGTCACATGACAGACACTATCACCGTGGCGTCGCCTGGACTCCGCCCACATTCCAAAGCTGACAGTGGAAAGTGAATTAGATGAAAATATTTCTACATCAAAATATTTACCCTGGGAGTGTGTGTGTGTGTGTGTGTGTTAAAGTGTGTTTGTTCTTGTCCCTGACGTCGCCTGCACTGGAGATGGAAACTTCAAAACTGGTTTGATTCAAACTTTCGTTTCATCAGATTTACCCATCAGCCCCTGAGTGACTGCCCCGTCGAACCGGGGTCTGTAAAACTTTGTCAGTAGTATTGATCTGATTTGGATAAAAAAAATATGTTGATGATGCTTTAAAAACACACTTCATCCAGAGTGAGGCGGTGTGGAGCAGCACTAACAAAGAAAACACAGATTATCTTCTTTATAACAATTGGGCCGGGGGTGGAGGTGGGGGGGGGGCAGGTTTGACACACACGAGAGAAAATACCTGTGGGTGTGTGTGTGTGACATCGGCATGTCGATGTGATAAATCTTGTTATTGTTTCCTGACTGCTGCCAATCAAAGTTTTGGGCTCTGCCCCCTTTTGGAGAGACTTTAAAATGCAGCGTGCCTGCCTGTTGTTGACGACTGATCTGCTCCGAGGCTGACGGTAAGAAGGTCAAAGACTTGTTCTGTTCTGTAAACGCATCACTTCCTCTGATGATGGTTTTTTGTTTCAGGGTCACAAGGTCAAATCATGCCAGGGAAACCGGGTCGAAACAGGTCCAAGAGTCCTAAGGGGAAGTGCCACAGCCCCAAAGGGCAAAAACACTGTCATGGAGGCAAAGAGAAGAAGAAGCGTCGACACAAGAAGGGGCATCAACACAAGAGCTGCCACAAACAGTCGGGCAAAAAGTCCCACGGGGTAAGAAGAGGGTCTGGACCAACAGGACCACGGACTGGAACCCACATCACTTTGTACTAAATCTGTGTGTGTGTGTGTGTGTGTGTGTGTGTGTGTCCTCCAGGACTCCAGCAGCTCCTGCTCCTCCTCCTCCTCCTCCTCCAGCAGTGACTCCGACTAGATGAACATTTCTGGATGAAGATTTAAATGTATTCTACAAAGTTGTGGGGGTTTTTTTATATAACATTTTTATGAACTTTTTTTGTTTTTACTGAACTTTGTTTTCACATGTGGTTTAAGGAATTTTTTATGGTTTTATGGTGGAAAAACAATAATAATAATAACAATAATAAACTTTCTGTGGACAAACACGTGCAGTGATTCTTTAAGGTGAAGGACATCAGGGCAGGAGGGGGGGGCCAAATTAAAATCAAAATAAAAAATAATAAAATTAAATTTAAATTAAATATTTTAAATTCAATGAAAAACATATGAGGCAGAGGTGTCAAACTCCAATTCACAGTGGGACAAATCTAATCACACTGTGGAGGCCTGAGTTTGACACGTGTGATATGGAGTGTTTAATGAAGTCCAATCATAATAAAAAAAATTATTTTTTTAATTTTTTACATTTATTTTTCAGTGGAGAGAACGTTTGTTGACTTTGCTCAGACTGTAGGTGTCGTTGTTGTTTTCACCTTCAGACTCTGATAACGAGAACCAGCACATCTTCATGGAGGAATCACTACCGCCACCTCGTGGAAGTAATAAGTAAGAAGATCTTTCTAATACTTGAAATAATAACATTTCACTTTTTGAAACTCAACATCAAATCCCCTCAACGAAATTCCATCCATTCATTTTCATCCGCTTATCTGTTACCGGGTCGCGGGGGCAGCAGTCTCCACGACCTCCACCCAGATCACACTGCACCGCACCAACCTTCCTGCGGGTGGTGAGTCCACTGGAAGGTACCAACCTCCCTAACCGGGATTCGATCTTGCCCAGGAGGTGAACCCTGGGGTTCCACACCAATGACAGAGACGTTGCCTCTGAGCCAAAGCACCACCACAAACAGATTATGTTTATGAATTACTCAAACTACGGGTCACGGCTCACTGATGGGACATTTATGTATTTCAGTTGGACTTAAATTTTTTTTTTGTATTTTGTCATACAATAAAACTTTTTGTTGTCCAACTCTGCAAATCCAAAATACCAGGTTTGAAGTACTCTGACTGCTGTACACATACTGCTGTACACGTAGTACTCCCTTATCTTTGCTGCTGGAGCGTTTTATTCTGTTGTTTTTTTATGTGTGACGGACCATAAACTGTTAATGATAGAAGAACGTCTGTCAGTCCGTCTGGTCGGTTCTGTCGTTCTCATGACCTCAGCACTTCTCGCAGTACAACAGTACTGTAGTATACTGCATTATCTGTATTTACTCAGGGAAGTCTGAATCACAACCTTTGTTCTGTTGTGCTTTATATTAACCACAACACACCCTGCTCCCCCACCTCCTTCATAGTGGAATTTTCTAGAACATGGGGTTGCGAACCTATGGCTCGCAAGCCAGATGTTGCTCGTTTGATGACTGCATGACTCTCGTTACACAATTTAATCCATACATTTTTTTTATTTGCAAAAATCCATGCAGCACAAAAACTCACATTAATGGTAAGAAGTATTTTATGCATTAGATAGTATAACAACATAACATTTTTGTAATAATTTTAATAACATTTTCCAATACTTCAGAGACTTACATACTCAATCATCTAAAATGATTGGTCTTATTTAAAAAATTCACACGTTTACTTGTATTCAGAGCAAAAAAAATACGCGTCTCTCTCTGCTACAACCCCTGTTCTAGAAGTAAATTATTTAATGACACCTTTAATTGTTCCACTTCCTGTGAACTGTAGTGTTTGATTGACTACTGTGCAGCTTTTAACTCCCCCCGGGGGTGGTGGGCAGGGGGGGTTTCCTGTCGGCCCCCGAGGCTCCTCTGTCATTGGTCCACTCGCTCTGACATTGATGCTAAATCCCAGCAGCCCCTGCAAGTTAGTAAAAGAACATGCAGTTTGAGGACTGGGCGTGGCCGTGTGTATCCACAGCAAATATCAGATTGTGCCGTTATGACCGCGTTAATGATTCCACGTTAAATATTACACACACACACACACACACACACACACACCCAGTTAGGTCACAAGGCCGACCTGCTCTGATGTGAGTGGAGGTCTGAGGTGGATATAAGAGGCAACGTCAGGTGAGTCCTCAGAACACCTGCTGAGTTCTTCAGGATCGGTTCTAGGATCTGAAATTTCAAGATGTATCCAAACCAAGGTAAGACCAGGAAATATATGTTCAGCATGTTTTATATATTTATATATATATATTTATATATTTATATTTCTACATATATTTATGTTATATTTATACATATATTTATCTATTATTTATACATATATTTATGTTATATTTATACATATATTTATGTTATATTTAAACATATATTTATCTTATATTTATACATATATTTATGTTATATTTATACATATATTTATGTTATATTTATACATATATTTATGTTATATTTCTACATCCTGACATGTAGGGAACCAGTATCCTGGATACCCAAACCAACCTCCACCTCCAGGCGGTTACCCTCAGTACCCCCCTGGCAGCTGCCCACCCCCGACCTGCCCCCCTCAGCCCCACTACCCACCAGGACCTGGATTTGGTCCTGGGCCCGGATACGGCCAGGGTCAAGTACCGGGATACGGCCAGGGTCAAGTACCGGGATGCGGCCAGGGTCATGGACACGGACATGGACACGGACACGGACATGGACACGGACATGGACACAAGCACAAGCACAAGAACGGACACAAGCACGACAAGTGCCACAAACAGGGCAAAAACTGTCACGGGGTGAGAGTTACTGTCACTGTTTAATGAACGAGTTCTTTCTGCAGGAACTGTTTGAATTAGACTGATTTCTGTCTCTGTCTTTTTTGTCCCAGTCGTCCAGCAGCTCCTGCAGCAGTGACTCTGACTGAGGAAATAAACAACAACAACAACAACAACAACAACAACAACCACCACCACCTGTTGATGGAAAAGAATGAAGAATTTAACTGTCTGTAAACATTTTATACTGAAGGGTAAAAATGATTTTCTTTAAAAAGAAAGTACTGTGTCTGATAAAACCTCATGATCATTCACTGCAGTCTCCTCATTATTATTATTATTATTATTGTTTTATTTAAATATTATTTGTCAGATTTTCCTGGTATTGGTCAAAGGAGCCAATTTTTTCTATCTTTGTGCCACTTACTTTTACATTTTATTATTTGACATATATAGTATATATTTAAATATATATTTATTTATATAAAATATATATTTAAATATAATAAATAAATATTTATTTATATAGTAATGGGAAAAACATTAACACTTTCTACACCAAGGGTTGCAGATCAGTACTGGGCCATTCAGTATTTTTCCTGTTGTTTATACGTACATTCTGTATCTGGTGTCTGGTATCTGGTGTCTGGTGTCTGGTGTCTGGTGTCTGGGAGGTAATTTCTATTGTACTGGTCGAAGTGTTTTGATTTTGGGAGTGGTGGAGTTTTATTACCGTGAATAAACCAGTTACATACGGTGATAACAGCTCCTTTAGCTGCTAATCATTAACAAAAAAACTTTTTTTATTTCTGTAGATTAAACGTGTTTGGTAAAAAGATTTATATAAAAAAATATATAAATAGAAATAAAATAAAATAAAGGACTAAAAGACAAATCCTGTGTCACTGGGATTAAAGACAAAAACGTGTTATTTTTGTCTTTGAGATCTTGTTTGTTTGTTCGTAATAATGTTGTTTAAAATTCCTAGATAAACAAATCTATGGTTTTCCATTAATTAATGGAAGTCAATACCTCCACCCGACAGTAGAGGGCAATGTGCCTCCAACTAGTGTGGATGTAGCCGGATCTCCACTAATCAGCGCCGTCTTCTTTGCGTGACCCGGAACTAAAACCGAAGCCCTGGTTTGCATGTGTGCAGCCGGACAGGAGACAGGAGAGAGCAGTGATGTTCCTAACGACTTCAACACACAGGTCTGTGCTGCGTCACTGACGGCGGTCAGTGGTTCCTCGGTGTGTTAGCTCACAGACACAACAACAGCCGTTTAACTTCGTCGTACTTGAAACAAACGACTAAATATAACGACGTCTACATCCGGTGTTGTTGTTGTTCTTCTTCTTTTTCTTCTTCTTCTTCTTCTTCTTCTTCTTCTTCTTCTTCTTCTTCTTCTTCTTCTTCTTCTTCTTCTTCTTCTTCTTCTTCTTCTTCTTCTTCTTCTTCTTCTTCTTCTTCTTCTTCTTCTTCTTCTTCT